TGCGCCACCCAGGCGCCCCTCAAATAAAATTCTTAAGCAATACCTCTTTTACACATTGCACTGGGGTTGAGACTCAAAATCTGAAAGGCGTTTTATTCCAACTGCATAATCTGATCTGAGAGCCAAAAACAAAAATTATTTCCAGCAGCATTGTGTTGGCAACCAAGTCATCAGAGACGTCTCCAGAGGGCAGAGGATTTTTGAAGCTAAAAGCTTCAAATCACAGTCAATGCAGTGTGGCCATGGGATAACTTGGAAAAGACAGCCGCAGGTTTGAAAGTATTTCCGTTGAAAGTTCAGTCTCAAAAGCAGCGAAATTTTTGCTAGGTTGGATTCAGTTTGGCATTTCCCTTTTTTGTTGTTGGTCTAACGGTTGACCAAAATAGGTTCAGTTCTTGTTGAGATAGGTCTTGTAGATGCTTTTGATTTTTTTTTTTTTTAAACACATGACAAATAGTATTGCATCCGCATTAAGTATGTATTTGGATTAGAATCTGCAGACACAGGATTCTTACACTAGCATCCGAGTCTTGGCGTGAGATGTCAACACCCTGACTTGTGTGCGGGTACTAAGGTCTCCAGGGCGGACGGGAACACAGGTGGAGGACCCCCGGCGTAGCGAGAACCCAGCACCCACAACCTATGGACCTCCGCGCGAGGACCAGCCCACTAGGGCGCCTGCGCCAGACCAGCCCATCCTTTCCCCCAGGAAAAGGGGAAGGGCGGAGCCTGAGGTAGGACCCCCCCCCCCCCCCCCCCGCGCTGGCGGCGCGCGGGAGGCCGGGGCGGGTCTTCCGTCGTGCGAGGGGCTACTTCCGGATCCGGTGGCGGAGGCTGGTGCGGAGTGAGGCGGTGTGGTGCTAGCTGGCTGGCGGGCGGGCTGGGCAGCTGCCCGCGCGCTGCGGGCGATGCTGGGAGGCGGCTCCGGGGCCCGGGAGCGCGAGGCGGAGGGCGACGGGGCGGAGGCTGTTCCTGCGCCGCCTGCCATTGAGTTCCCGGCCGACGGCTCGGACCCCAAGTATGATGGTGAGCGACCCGGAATGCTGCGGCGGCCCTCTTCTTGCACCCATCCACCTTCATTCCCGAGCGGGCAGGGCTGCTGCGAGCAGCCCCGAGCTTCGCCGCAGCCCTGGGGCGAATTCGGCTGGACCCCGGCCCAGCGACGGGGGGCGGCGGGCGGGCGGCATGGGTAAGGTAAACATTTATTGAAACGAGCGTCCCCGACCCACTGGTTTGTTTACGTTTCTGTTCCGTGGTTTCCTCTTTGCGGACTCGAAGTCCTTGGTAAGGCTTCGCTCAGGCTGCTTTCCAGCTTTCGAGCCCTGTGGTTTGGTCAGACGTTGAGAGTGAGCTTTGTAAACGACTAGACGGAGATTTTGCGGACCTTATACGCTTAACAGTTTGGGTTAAGCGTTTTAATTTGTAGTTTCTCACTGATAGAGGAGCTGAAGACTTATAGTGGGGCCGTATGGAAATCACCCTTTTCGGTTTAAAGAAAAACAATGCCTCAAGGTTTTTGGGGGGTGAAGGACCTTTGGTTACTAGGAGATACAGGGTTAAGCCAGGCAAGTTATGTTATAGTGAGAGGTACTTAAAACATTGACTCTAACCACTTCAAAGTATCCACTATTTTATTGAAGGTTCTTAGGGTCTTTAATTACTACCTGTTGTTTTGGCAGTTTTTAAAATTAAATTGTGCTATCAGGAATGAATACATTGATTCAGGGAGGTTTTTAGTTTACGGTAGTTAGGATGATTACAGGGAATACTTGCTCAGTTTAAGCATGAAGCAAGTATTAACATGTTGCAGTGGATTTGAAGGTGCAAGTCAAGTTGAAAAGATTCATTTGTTTCTAAAGTCCTTCGAACTTCACCCAAATACTGTCTATAATTCTTGACCCTAATGGGAGACAAAAGCAGACTGCGGTGGTAATTTTAGTAGGTCCTTGACAGAGTAGTTTTAAGAGAACTATTTTTTAATGAACCGATTTTTTCACATGAAACCTGGTCTACTAAGGCAGCACAATATTAGGTGAAGTGTTATGTCAGAGGAAAAGTCCCAGCTGTAAACATGCAAGTCTGTGTTATCTGTAACATTGTGATAAGGTTTTCTGCAAAGGAGAGATTATTTTTGAAGGGAGTGATCTTAGATAAGCTTTGGAAAACTTCTACTAGGTTACTAACAGTACTGTTGTGTTTACATATTGCCTTTTCTTCCAAAGAGGCCCAGAATATCCAGACATGATTTATCATTTTACGTGAAAAGTAAGGTCTATGGAAAATAGTTTCATTTTTTAGTAGACTTAGAAACAGAACTGTTAACAGAATTTCTTGAAGGTCATCTATATGATGTGAGGTGGTCACTCTGCCAGTTGATGGTAGAGTCAGAAAATTCAGAACCTAGATGTAACTCTATAACCTGTGTTCTTCAGCCATCTGTTATGTGGGGACCAACTTTGATCAGTTACTGCATGCCCCCACCCCCCCACTCCCCTGCCCCAGCATGCCCTAGAAGGAGAGCAACAGTAAGCCCATTGTCAGACTCACTGGTTTTCTTCTTTCATCTGACACAAGTTTTCCAGAATTTTTGGCTCAGATTAATCCTCCAGTTTCCTCCTTCATTTAATAATGGACCATTTATTAAGATCATACTTGTCTGAGGAGCCTGAAGTAGGTGATCCTTTTTTCTGTTTGTCTACTCACCTCCTACTTGGCAGAATTCTAGAACTCTAATTCACCTAGGAGCTCATACTATTTCTTATTCTTTTTTATAAGAGGACCCGACCTCATCTTTCCTATTACCCACTTAGATCTTCCTCTTCTACTTAACCAGGATTGAAGCGGGAAGCATTCAGTGTCAGCCTTCATTGCCTTTCAGTTTTACTCCTTCCTGCGTCTGAGTATTTGTCCACTGGTCTTTTTTATAGTTGCTATTTTCTTGATTTAGTTAGTTCATTTGACTCCACTGATCAGTCATTTTTTTTTTTTTTTTTTTTTTTTTTTTTTTTTTTTTTTTTTTTTTTTTGTTTTGCTTTTTTCTTATTAAAAAGTAGAACTTGGGGCACCTGGGTGGCTCAGTTGGTTGAGCGTCTGACTTCGGCTAGGGTCGTGATCTCGTGGTTCATGAGTTTGAGCCCCGCTTAGGGCTCTGTGCTGACAGCTCAGAGCCTGGATCCTGCTTTGGATTCTGTGTCTACCTCCCTGTCTGCCCCTCCCCCGCTCACGTTCTCTCTCTGTCTCTCAAAAATGAATAAATGTTAAAAAAAAAAGTAGAATTT